CCCCTGCTTTTTTAAAATTAAAAAAGAGAACTCCATGTTAGCTCTTTGAGGCCCAGTGTGATTGCCAACTCTTGGGAAGGAAGCATAGCTTTTGCAATTTGCAGGGCTTCCAGTCTGCCTCAGTCCCATTTGGCTGGATGGACACCAGCTGGGAACGTGCCGGCCTGTTCCCTGCCCCTTTCCAGGTTCTACAGTGTCACATTCTCTGCGACTTTGCACAGCTCCATGGGCTGGTTTTTTGTTTGTTTTTTTGAGATGAAGGTTCACTCTTGTTGCCCAGGCTGGAGTGCAGTGGCGCAATCTCAGTTCACTGCAGCCCCAGTCTCCTGGGCTCAGGTGATTCTCACACCTCAGCCTTCTGAGAAGCTGGAACTACAGGTGTGCGCCACCATACCCAGCCAATTTTTTGTGTATTTTTAGTGGAGATGGAGTTTTGCCATGTTGGCCAGGCTGGTCTCAAACTCCTGAGCTCAAGTGATCTGCCCACCTCGGCCTCCCAAAAAAAGTGCTGGGATTACAGGCGTGAGCCACCACACCCAGCCATGGGCTGTTATTATAGCTGCCTCATCACAGTCATCAGGAAATAAATATTCTGTTGGTGTCTGGAATAGAAGGTGTTAGACTATAGGCCGGGCACAGTGGCTCACACCTGTAATCCCAGCACTTTGGGAGGCTGAGGCAGGCAGATCACCTGAGGTCAGGAGTTCGAGACCAGCCTGACCAACATGGAGAAACGCTGTCTTTACTAAAAAGACAAAATTAGCCAGGCATGGTGGCACATGCCTGTAAGCCCATCTACTCGGGAGGCTGAGGCAAGAGAATCACTTGAACCCGGGAGACGGAGGTTGCGTTGAGCTGACATCGCGCCATTGCACTCCAGCCTGGGCAACAAGAGTGAAACTTGGTGTCAAAAAAAAAAAAAAAAAGAAAAGAAAAGAAAAAAGGTGTTAGGCGATACATAAAAAATCTACAAGCAAAAAGAAGGCTAACAGAGTATAATATCCAGGTTTTTGTTGTATGTGGTGTTTCTAGTTGCAAGGCCTAAATTAAGATAACTTATCTCTAAATGAAATACTGATGTTAAAATAATGTAATTTTATGTATTTGAGAAAACTTTTCATGAGTATTAACCTTTTTTTCTAATTCTTATATAAACTCATGAATATTCATTTATGGTGAAATGTTTTTAAATTTGTTTTGTCACCTATTTCTCCTTTCACATTGATCTTCATCCACCATTTCCCATGTCAAGCACTTTAGGTTTTGTAGCCTGAATGATGCTTGTGGACAGATTCATGTTGTCTAGCTATGGTGCATTTGTGTGAAATGTACAGCTCTCATGTAATTGGATTTTTCCCCTGTATCTCTCTATCCTTTGTTTATTTGTACATACTTAAGACATCCCATATTTGCATCAGGAAGACAGATTTTTAAATACTCAAGAAGTAGATTCACAAAGCACATTTTTAAAATCTTAGATTTGTAGCCAGTTAGATCTCACTTACTCTTTCCTTGCTTCCTATTGAAGCACATTTCTGACAAACATATCAGTAGGATTGTCTTGCCTGCTGAGGGCAAGAAGAAAGGCTATTTGTGGGGCACTATGATGTATGGAGTGCATATGTATACATGATGTATATGGAGCTAAAAATAAAGTTTGAATAGTTTAGTGAAAATAATCACTTCTTAAGAGCTTGTGAAAAATATGTAGTGTTCCTGAAACAAATTACTTAGTATAACTAAAAGTATAAATTATAAAATATATCATATTCAGCTATTACAGGACAGATCTGATAACAGGCTACCATAAAAAGAGTATTTCTTTGTAAGTGCATTTATATTATCCATGACTTCTTTTGGTATTGTTTAAGCATTTCTGTTTTCACAAGTGTTACTGGCATATTTTCTTTTTCTCCAGTGGGTCTTTCTAGGTTCAGGAGAGTTAACAAACCCTTTCAATTCAGAACAGTTTCCTTCCTGCCATGCTTTTAACTATCACGCTGTCTTTCCCTGTTTCCTTCTATTTTTTCTTGCTTGTCCTCTATCATGCAGTGCTGATACCAGATTTACAGAACATATGGGTGAATCATTCCTTTGACACAGGTGTGGTGCAACAACTTCTGCTGGAACTTTCTGCGGCTGTGACCTGGTGAACTGGCTAATTGAAGTCGGCCTTGCCTCTGACCGTGGTGAAGCTGTGATATACGGAGACAGGCTGGTACAAGGGGGAGTCATCCAACATATTACCAACGAGTATGAATTCCGGGATGAGTACTTGTTTTACAGATTTCTTCAAAGGAGTCCTGAACAGAGTCCTCCTGCTATTAATGCAAACACTCTCCAACAGGAAAGATATAAAGAAATTGAGCATTTGTCCTCACCCTCACATTCCCCTAAGACCTAAATTATGAAGGGGAGAACCCTACATGGAATCATATTCTAGCCCCATATTCATTAGTTTTTAGCTGGGTGACCTTGGGCAAGTTAACAGAGGCAACCTCTGTGAGCCTCAGTTGTCTCTTCTGTAAAATGTGACAAGATGTGTTCCCACTACATGCTCAGGGTCTGTGATTTTACATGTATGTAAAACACATAGGAAGCTCACTTAGGAAAAAAAGAAAACCAAATTAAAGTTCTGATAATGAATATAATATAGTCATCCTTCGGTATCCAAGGGGAGTGGTTCCAGGAATCCTGAAGATCCCAAAATCTGAGGATACTCAAGTCCCTTATATAGAATGGTGTAGGCCGGGCGTGGTGGCTCATGCCTGTAATCCCAGTACTTTGGGAGGCCAAGGCAGGTGGATCACCTGAGGTCAGTAGTTCAAGACCAGCCAGGCCAACATGGCGAAATGCCTCTCTCCTGAAAAATACAAAAAATTAGTTGGGCGTGGTGGCAGGTGCCTGTAATCAGCTACTTAGGAGGCTGAGGCAGGAGAATCGCTTGAATCTGGGAGGCAGAGGTTGCTGTGAGCCAAGATCGTGCCACTGCACTCCAGCTTGAGCAACAGAGCGAGACTCTGTCTCAAAATAAATAAATAAATAATAAATAAATAAAATGGTGTAGTATTTGCATATAACCTATGCACATTCTCCCATATACTTTAATCATCTTTAGATACTTATAATGCCTAATACAATGTAAATGCTATGTAAATAGTTGTTATACTGTATTGTTTAGGGAAAAATAACAAGAAAAACAGTCTGTACATGTTTACTACAGATGCAACCATTGTAAGCCTAATTACATTTTTTATCTGCAGTTGACTGAATCTGTGGATGTGGAACCTGTGCATATGGAGGGTCAGCCGTACTATAAATAATATGAATATGCCAACATTATATAATCATTGCTTTCTGCAACTGTTTACTATAATTTCAAAATTAACATCCTATTAACTGTTCCTTTAAATTATCAAATTTGGCAAGTATATTGCTGGCAGGAAATACACCTTAAATTATGACAACTTTACAATTTTTGATAGCACCTCTTGAAAAAGAATTTTAATGATTCTAATAAGAGGTTTTTTTCTTTTTTCCATTTCCTTGACAAATAGTACTCATTTAAAAACTAGAGGTCCAGGCATAGTGGCTCACCCCTGTAATCCCAGCACTTTGGGAGGCTGAGGTGGGCAGATAGCTTGAGGTCAGGAGTTTGAGACCAGCCTGAGCAACATGGTAAAACCCGGTCTCTACTAAAAAAAAGGGAAGAAAAAAAAAAAAGAATAGCAAGGTGTGGTAGCACATGCCTGTAGTCCCAGCTACTTGGGAGACTGAGGTGGGAGTACCCCTGGAGCCTGGGAGGCGGAGGTTGCAGTAAGCCAAGATCACATCACTGCACTTCAGCCTGGGTGACAGAGCGAGACTCAGTCTCAAAAACAAAAAAAACAAAAAAACAAGCAAAAAAACGTAGAGGCACTATTTTTTTTAAGTTTGTCTTTTCTTTTCTACCCAAATTACTAATCTATGCCATTAAGGAATAAAAACCTCCATATGTATTATTATCTCCACAGTCCTTCTGCAGAAGTACAATCTGATCTTTAACTTTTATGCTACAAATACTAATTTGAACAGATTAATTTGAACTTGAAAATATTGCCATATAATGTATCATTTCTGTATTTGAACAAAGCATCATAATGCAGGATAACCCTTTTACTTTATTCCCTAAAGTTAAAAAAAATAAAAACTATATAGTTCAAGCCAATATTTAAAAATTCTGAACCTAGGCTGGGCATGGTGGTGGCTCACACCTGTAATCCCATCACTTTGGGAGGCTGAGGCAGGTGAATTGCTTAGCCCAGGAGTTCGAGACCAGCCTGGCCAACCTAGTGAAATCCTGTCTCTACTAAAAACAAACAAACAAAATTAGCCAGGTGTGGTGGCATGCGCCTGTAATCCCAGCTACTTGGGAGGCTGAGGCAGGAGAATTGCTTGAAACCAGGAGGTAGGGGTTGCAGTGAGCTGAGATTGTGCCACTGCACTCTAGCCTGGGTGACAGAGTGAGACTCTGTCTCAAAAAAAAAAAAAAAAACTAAAGATTACATTTAGAATTTAGTTTTTTTAAAGTGTCCATTATAAACATATATAATTTTTAAAATCACTAAATGTTGCCTTCTCAGTCTATTATTTCAGCTACTATAACAAAATATTATAAACTGGATAGCTTATAAACAACAGAAACTCATTTCTCACAGTTTTGGAGGTTGTGAAGTCCAAGATTAAGGCACTAACATAGCTGGTGTCTGGTAAGGGCCAAATTTCTGGCTCATAGATGGTACCTTCTTGCTGTGTCACCACATAGTAGATGGGAAGAACTGGTCTCATCGGCCCCTTATAAGGGCATTAATTCCACTCAATAGGGCTCCACCCTCATGACCTAATAACCTCTTAAAGGCCCTACCCCCTAATACTAACACATTGAGGATGTGTCTTCAACTTTACATTTCTACAGGCAGAGAAGGGGGGCTGTGTAAATTCTCCCCATCAGTACTTGAATGTTCATTTAACAAATATTTATTGAACATCTACCATGTTCCAGACACAATCTGAACACTGAGCACACAACAGTGGGAACAAATATGATTCCTATCCTCATGGAGCTTCTATTCTCCTGTGAAAAACAGATGTTAAACATGATTGAGGATTAGGTTTCAACGTATGAATTCTGGGAGGACACAGACATTTAGACCATAGCATCTTCAGATAAGCTTTATCTTCAGTAAATTAAAGAGATCTATTTAGATGACCGTTGAGCATCTTAATTATTAGGTGTCAGTTTCAGTACTGGTTTAACTTATTTTAAACATGTTTCAGATATTTATTTAATTATACTTGTAGTGTCTCATATGTAAAAGTTATTTATAAAATAATTTATAGGGTTAGAGTCATTGTCCTTTTAATGAAACAAATAAACAATTTTTTAAAAACCTGCATGGGGGCCAGGCGCAGTGGCTCATGCCTGTAATCCCAGAACTTTGGGAGGTTGAGGCTGGCGAATCACGAGGTCAGGAGATCGAGCCCATCCGGGTTAACATGGTGAAATCCCGTCTCTACTAAAAATACAAAAAATTAGCCAGGCATCATGGCGGGTGCCTATAGTCCCAGCTACTTGGGAGGCTGAGGCAGGAGAATGGCATGAATCCGGGAGGCAGAGCTTGCAGTGAGCCGACTCCAGCCTGGGCGTCACAGTGAGACTCCGTCTCAAAGAAAAAAAGAAAAAAAAACAAAAAACAAAAACCTGCATGGAAGCCTAGTATATTTATTAATAACAAATAACTTATACTTTAGTGTACTATTAACCTGTACCAATTTTAAGTTGTGATCAGAGAATGGGGATGTTTTTAAGTTCTGTCTTGCTGCAGAACTTCCCTTTTTTAATATGACCATATTATGACTCTGAATGCTCAGGGGTAAGCCTAAGGCCCCACTGCTGTTACCAGGAGATTTTTCTAGTTATAGAAATAAAGATGTTAATTCACATGCATGCAGACAACTGAAACTTGAGTGGAAAATTTGTTTGTGAACAAGTCATACTACTTATCTTCTGTTATTTGCACGAATGGAATCTGCTACTTCTTTTTCCATGGGAGACACTAAAAGAAAACCCTGGATCAGAATGATCTGCAGTTTCAGATAATACAGGCTTTTAAGAGACATTTTTAGAATTAAAAATATGCTAATTTTATTAAATGAAAATATTTGTTACTTTCTCACTGACAAAGCAAATTTCTCAATAAAATACCTATTTTAACTTGCATTGCTGACATCTTTTCTTTGAGTAATCTGAATAATGCAGAAGCCATCATAGAGGTCTTTTATACATTCTCACTGTTTTCTTAAATGGGTTTCCTGAGTTCTATTCTTCATGACTCTGGGCTCTGCAAACAGGGTTTCCCAATTGCGCATTCTATACACACTTTTATGAATGAGTCAATATAACATTAGAGTCGTTTTCATATATTTCATCATTTCCAATATGTAGAGTGACAGCTAGAAAAAAGATGATACAATTTTGCTCAAAACCTATCTCTTTTTCTTCAGCATAGTTGTTTTCTTAACTCTCAATGAGTAACTCCACGCCTAGCTTGTGCTTAGCTTTCAATATTTTTAGACTAAGACAAAGTGTATTTGGCATTTTGAGAACAACGATTAATGGTCAGTACATTTCTAAAGCAAGAAAAATGTGAAACTAGTGTTTTATATATTTGTTATGCAGCGGAATACAGCTCTTAGTGTTTGCCCCTTCATATCTCATCATGTAAAATATTAAATTGTTTTAGGCCACTGGACATAGGTAGTCCTGTCATGAATGATGGCTGGAAAAAAGTTCAGGATCATAAATGTTATCACCATTCTTTAAGAAAAGATGAGATTATAAATTTCTGCAACTGGTATGACAAAAGGTTGAATTAACTAATGAGGTTGAATTAACTAACTAGGCTACTAGTTATTTCTAAAGCAAAACTTTTGGTTCATGATTAACATATATAAACTGGTGTTTTCATCAAAGATCAAACAAAATAGTCTTCTCTAGAATACTCATATTATTCCCCTGGCTTATTAAGTAATGGTAAATAATACACAGTATCTAAGAGGTGACAGGTTGACCTGAAACTTACCAAAGGATATCAAGTTGGGCAGATAGATTGTCTAGCTAGTTTCTTCAACTTTACATTTTCTATAGGCAGAGAAGAGGGCTGTGTAAATTCTTCCCATCAGTACTTGAATGTTCATTTAACAAATATGTATCGAACATTTAGCATGTGCCAGACACAATCTGTAACACTGAGCACACAACAGTGGGAACAAATATGATTCCTATCCTCATGGAGCTTCTATTCTGTGAAAAACAGATGTTAAACATGATTGACCTGTGACCAGGATCACGTGTGCCTCCAAGAGTATGTAAGAGAGACCTTCTGGTGTGAAGAAAACTCCCCTGAGGAAGTCATGTTTTAGCAAAACTCTAAAGGATGTCAAGTATTACTTATATAAAAGGGAGCACATGGAATGAATAGTGCAAGCAGACAATATGGCCATGAGGAAGGCACATTCAAGGACATGAAAGAGTAGCATAGTAGAAACCTAAAAAGCAATGGTCGAAGGTGTAGTAAGACATAGATGAGGCAGATCAGTGGGATCTTTTTGGTATTTAAAGAGGTTTAGGCCAGGCACAGTGGCTCACGCCTATAATCCCAGCACTTTGGGAGGCCGAGGCAGGTGGATGACCTGAGGTCAGGAGTTCTAGACCAGCCTGGCCAACCTGGTGAAACCTCATCTCTACTAAAAAACACAAAAATTAGCTGGGTGTGGTGACAGGTGCCTCTAATCCCAGCTACTCAGGGGGCTGAGGCAGGAGAATCACTTGAACCCAGGAGGCGGAAGTTGCAGTGAGCTGAGATCGGGACATCGCACTCCAGCCTGGGGGACAAGAGGGAGACTTTGTCTCAAAAAAAAAAAAAAGTTTTAGACTCAAAAATAAGAAAAGAAACAACCTAAGTAAACAATGGGCAAAAGATCTGAACAGACAACTCACCAAGGAAAATAAACAGATAAAAGCATGTGAAAAGATGTCCAACACCATATATCATCAGGGAATTGTAAATTAAAACAAGATACCATTACACTCTATTAGAATGGCCAAAATCCAAAATGCTGACAACAATAAATGCTGACAAGAATACAGGGCAACAGAAGCTCTTATTCTTTGCTGATAGGGATGCAAAATGATAGCCACTGGAAGACAGTTTGGCAGTTTCTTAGAAAACTAAACATACTCTTACCACATGATCCAGCAATTGTGCTCCTTAGTATTTACATAAAATTAGTTGAAAACATGTCCACACAGAAATCTTCACATGGATGTCTACAGTAGGTTTATTCACAATTTTCAAAACTTGGAAGCAATCAAGATGGCCTTCAGTAGTAGTATATTCAGACAATGGAATATTATTTAGCACTAAAAGAAATGAACTATCAAGTCATGAAAAGACATAGAGGAACCTTAAATGGATATTACTAAGTAAGTTCAAGAAGACGATCTTACGAGGTCACATACTATATGATTCCAATGATATGACATACGGAAAAGGCAAAACTATGGAAATAGTAAAAAGATCAGTGGTTGTCAGGAGTTGGAGGGACGGTGGGATAAATAGGCAGAACACAAGATTTTTAGGGCAGTGAAACTATTTTGTATAATACTATGATGGTGGATACATGTCATTTTATAATTATCAAGGGCCATAGGATGTACTACATCAAGAGTGATCTCTAACTTGAACTATGGACTTTGGGTGATAATGTTTCAGTGTAGGGCCATCGATTGTAACAAATGTACCATTCTGGGGCTGGGATGTTGATAGTGGGGGAGGCTATGCATGTGTGCTGATAGGGGCTATATTGGAACTCTGTACTTTCTGTTCAATTTTGCTGTGAACCTAAAACTGCTCCAAAAAATAAAGTCTCTTTTAAAAAAGAGTTTTAGGAGGGGAATTCATAATCAGATTTAAATTTGTAATAGATTGGCCGTAGTGACTCATGTGGGTAGAAATAAAGAATAAAAATGGGTGTAGGAGAACAGTTAATGCAATGGTCTAACTAAAGATGGTGCTAGTTTAGTCTAAGGTGGCAGCAAAGCAGAAGGTGAAAACATGCTGCCCCTAGAGAAGGAAATAAGATTCCCGTAAGTGTAATGAACTGTTTGCCCTTAGTTTCCTCATCTATTAAAGGAGAGAAGAGGAGTATAGGGGTTAGAAGACAGCCTATCACTGAACCAAACTTAAAGCAAACAGAATCAACTGAGTACTTGAGTCAGACATCTTTTCTTTTGTAATGTCAACCCTGTATTAGACAAGAGCAGTATCAGGCAGATGATGGTATTTATGAGAGAACTTTGAACACATAACTTCCTGAACACTTAAAATATAATGACCCACTTCTTTATTAACCTAATTGTGCTGATAGTGACTAGTAAATATGATAATGTAACCAAATACCAAAATGGACATTCTAGAAACTCAAAAATACTTCGTGTTATTTTCAGTTGGATTTTTCTTTTGTTTATATTTGCAATTTTGAGTCTTGGTAATCTTTATGTAACCTAAACATAAAGTTTTATAAACTTTAGGAAGATATTACTCATGTATAAAGTTCATAATATATAATGCAATATAGTGTTCAAAATGTTATAATGTTCATAATATACTAATAATTCTATTTCATTGCCACTACCTCATTCTTGTTTCTGTTTTCACTGAGTAAACAGAAGTAAACAATGAGAGAGATTTCAGACCCAGAAACAGTATACCCTAAGGTTTTAGTTCTTTTATCTTATTCTCTAATCTCCCAAAGAAGCTCTTCTAAAAATATATCTTATTAACGTAAAGCCTATTAAGGAGAATGACCCTAAAAATGCTAGACAATCAGAGCTACAAGCTCACTGGTTAGCCAAGTCTTGACGAAGAGCATGTTTGAGTTTACCAAAAGTACATTTGCAGAACTAATATACTGTATTGACAATGTGTAAATCTAGACATTTTTCTTGTTAGAGCTGGTTAATATTTGCCTTAAGCACAAACAACTTACCACTTGAGGTATTTTTCATGACTAAAGAAAAATCTACTTTCTTGATGTAACAGACAAAATGATTTGACGGTACTACATAATTATAATAAATATAAATCCATGTATCATTCTAATGTTTCATTCTTTATATATAATTGAATACTTAGTTATTGTGACAAAAAGTTACTATGGCTAAAGAAAATATGCAAGTACATCACCTGAAATAACACCTGTATCCCACGATACATGAATCCAATTCCAATGCTGTTTTCTTTCTGAGTATTTCAGCAACACTGTATGTAGTTTAATAGTCAAGATATCACTTGAATACTATCCAAGAATAATCAGATCTGCTCAAATTAGGTTTATATAATTTACCAAGGTGATGGATTCTGACTTTGAAGATTGCTGACCACTGATCACTAAGAACTAATATTAGCTGACCATATGATCACTAACAACTAACATTTGACTGATAAATTTGAATTTCATCTTTTGTACACTGAGGAAAGAGATTAACAATTTTCTCCACATCAAGATGCTTGTTTTGAAGGATTGATTCCATCTCTCTGAATAGTTCTTTCTCCAGTTTCCTCATGTTGTCCAACATTATTTTGGCTTTTTCCTAAACAATTAAAAATATAAAGATAAATACATATACACATACACATAAATCTAACCAAATTCAACCCACCTCTACAGATAAGGATTGTTCATTCTGGCATCTAATTGTGGTTTGGTTCCCTTTTTGTTCTTTGGAGACAGAAAGAATGAAATTCTTTGGGAAAATCATTGCTCTAGATTGAGTTAATGCATGAATACCAAGTTATTTTTAGTAGAAAAGACAAAAACAATTATGAGAGTAGTTTATAAGTAAAAAACATAAAAGACAACAAGACAACAGAAAATCTCATATGAACTGTCTATGTGGAAGGCTGCTGAAAACTGAGGCTGAAATATTTTTATCAATTTAGATCTTTTACGTTTAAAACCAGTATTATCAGATTAATAAAACAGAACAGTAATGTTCAGGAAAAAATCAACTAAAAGAAGACATTTCCTCTATTACTTCATCTTTATTTCAAAAAAGGGAGAAAAAAGGTCCATGATTCTTACAGAAAGTAATTTCTAAATTGTTGATGAATCACCATTATCAGTTATAAGGTACTTATTTAGAGAAAAAGTATGTAAGAAAAAACTTGGCCAGGCACCGTGGCTCAAGCCTGTAATCCCAGCACTTTGGGAGGCCAAGGCGGGTGAATCATGAGGTCAGGAGTTCGAGACCAGCCTGCCAATATGGTAAAACCCCGTCTCTATTAAAAATACAAAAATTAGCTGGGCGTGGTGGCGCACGCCTGTAGTCCCAGCTACTCGGAAAGCTGAGGCAGGAGAATCGCTTGAACCTGGGAGGCAGAGGTTGCAGCGAGCCGAGATCACACCACTGCACTCTAGCCTGGACGACAGACTGAGACTCCGTCTCAAAATAAATAAATAAATAAATAAATAAATAAATAAATAAAGTCACTAGAAAGTGAGCATACTTTTTTTTTTTTTTTTTTTTGAGATGGACTCTCACTCTGTTGTCCAGGCTAACGTGCAATGGCACACTCTCAGCTCACTGCAACCTCCACCTCCCAGGTCCAAGCAATTCTCCTGCCTCAGCCTCCTGAGTAGTTGGGATTACAGACGCCCGCCACCATGTCCGGCTAATTTTTATATTTTTAGTAGAGAGGGGGTTTCGTCATGTTGGTTAGGCTGGTATCAAACTCCTGACCTAAGCTGATCTACCTGCCCTGGCCTCGCAAAGTGCTGGGATTACAGGCGTAAGCCACTGCACCTGGCCTGTGAGCATAATTTTTAAAATTTGAACCATTATGGGGCAGAACTCTACAAAACAAATAACCTTAACATGGACTTCAATATGAAATTGTATGCAGTTTTCATCTGAGGAAACACTACATTTTATATTAGTGAGAAAAAAATGGGTTTTGTCTATAAATGGTATTGGAATAATTAGTCACCTTTTTGGAAAACAGAGTTAGAATCCCTACTTCATGAAAGATACAAAAGTAAATTCCAGATGGACTAAAGAACTAAATTTTTAAAAAACACATATATGCTAGAAGTTATATTTATACTGAGGTGAGGCAGGCCTTTTGAAACATGAAATCAAGGTGCCTTACAGCAAAAGACTAATAAATATAATTGACTAAGTTTAAAATTTTTGTCTGACAAAAAAGTTAAATGTCAAACAATAAACTGGAATAAAATTCTGCCTTATTACAAACAGTTAATATTCACATATTTTTGCCTATTTAAAGCAAAAAATAAAAAAAAACAAAAATAACCCAAAATCAATGGAAAAACAGCCTAAGGGAAAAAATAGACAAGAAATTTAAAATAAAATACTCATGACCAATAGACATAGGAGAAGGTTTCAATCTTACTAGTAATCAAGAAATGTAAATTAAAACTACCAGTAGGATTGACTCTCCCTAAGACACAAAAGAAGTTATTTACAGAGCCAGGACCAGAACCCAGCTCTTTCACTCTTCTTCCCTCAAATTCCATTATCTTTCCACTACTCTATGTTGTCAATCAATATTTTATGATTTTTAAGTAAAGTCTAAAATAGTTACAGCTTTAGAATTTTTATTTAAAAATAAAAATGTAAATAAAAATTTTCAAGTAAAAATAGGAAGTCTGGCAGAGCTTGTTGCTTTGAGCCTAAGTGAAATAGGTGAGGGAAAAAAAAAACACATAGCAACAATGCCAACACTGCAGACAAAAATAAATTATTACCTGGAGGAAAATTCATTTAATCAGTTTCAGTGTGAATAGAATGTAAATGTATATGCCTTGACAAAGTAAAAGAAATTATAGGCAAGAAAAACCAGGAGGTAGAAACAGACGAGAAAAGATTTAAGATGGTTAATGTTTTATTTCATTGCAGGGGGTCAACGGATGGATGGCTTTAGGCAGCCTTTCTATTCCCTTCTTACCTCTTATTTTTCTTTAGCAAGCTGAATAGGTATAGACATTATAAAATGACCTATCTATCTATACCAGAAAAAAATAAATCCTTATTTCTAGAGAAGAGAGTTTGAGTGATATATTGCTCTTCTATAATGCTTACATTTTAAAATAATGAGGATGTATCACTTTTTAAAAACTGAAACTAATTATTATTTTAATTCTCTGAGGTTTTAAGTCACTTTCAATTAATTTTAATCTAGGCCTGTATGATTAAGAACATTACATTAAGAAACCAGGTCAACCGCTATCTGGAGGCTTTGTAACTTTTGGTGTGGGATATATACTAAGCAAGTTACTTAAACTCTCCTAGACTCAGACACTTTATCAGCAAAGTGGGAATCAAAATAGTACCCATTTCATAAAGTGGTTGTGAAGATTAGATAAAGTAAACCCTGTAAAAGTACTATGTAAGTGCTCAACAAATGTTAGCTATTGTTATTATGTTTAATGTACTAAATTTCTCTATAAGATTCACAATACATGTATTCATAATCAAAGATAAAAATAATACAGCTCTACTATAGTCTGAGCATCTAAACTAATCCTAAACCTATTTTTTATAAGAAGGTAGGAAAGCTGATACTCCAAAGTTCAAAATACGGATTGAATCAAACTTTATACTTAACGATATAACAAAGAATATAAACTATCTTACCTCATTATTATGTACCACTTCCAATGCCTGTTGATGTTTTTGGTAGAGTGGGTGTCTTCTGTCAGGCTTAACATGTGACTTCTTTTTAACTAGATCTTCAAGTTCAAATGTTGGTGAACTGGTATCCAATAATTGTGAAATATGTGGCACAAATATGAAAGGCTTAAAAACAGATCTAGAAGAAAGAGTCTTTATTAAATTATCATGTCAATATATAAAAATATTCAGTGTTATTCTAAGTCTTCCAAGATTCTCTCTAATTAGAAGTTTCTGTTAATGTTACATACTAACTTGTTCCTGTCACATTAGTTATACCCATGCCTGTCTTCTCTGATACACCGGGATCTCCTTGGGGGCAGGGAACCATACTTTTTTTAGTCTTGTGTTCCCATGAACCTAACAGAGGACCTGGCACATAAACAGAGTCAGCAAAGTAATAGTTTGTCTTTCCTACTTCACATTCCACAGGTGGAGGATAAGAACAACCATTAATGTTATAGACTGAGGATTAGGACTTGGGGTGAACATCAGTGCCAGTGTCAGTAAGGAGGACACATGCTGGGCACAGTGGCTCATGCCTGTAATCCCAGCACTTTGAGAGGTCAAGGTGGGAGAATCTCTTGAGACCAGGAGTTCAAGAACAGCCTTGGGCAACATAGCCAGACCCCATCTCTACAAAAAAATTAAAAATTAGCCAGGCATGGTGGCATGCACCTGCAGTACCAGCTACTAGGGAAGCTAAGGTGGGAGGATCACTTGAGCCCAGGAGTTCAAGGCTACAGTGTGCTGACTGTGCCACTGCACTCCATTCTAGCCCGGGCGACAGAGCAAGGACCCATGTAAAAAAAAAAAAAAAAAAAAGGAAGACTCAAATGTTTTATTCCATTTTCTTGAAGATATTTTTAATAATATGAAAGGCTGCTACACTAAGAGATAGTGAATATAAAATCATTTCTAAATGTAATGTGCATTTCGTGAGATACTAGTGACTTAAATCAAGATAGTCAACGAAAGTATTACCTAAAATATAACTGGACTGGATGCAGTGGCTCATGCCTGTAATCCCAACACTTTGGGAGACTAAGGCAGGTGGATCACGTGAGGCCAGGAGTTGGAGACCAGCCTGGGCAACAAGGTGAAATCTTGTCTCTACTCTACGAAAAACACAAAAATTAGCCAGGCATGGTGGTGTACGCCTGTAATCCCAGCTACTAGGGAGGCTGAGGCATGAGAATCTCTTGAACCTGGGAGGCAGAGGTTGCAGTGAGCTGAGATCATGCCATTGCACTCCAATCTGGGTGACAGAGTGAGACTCTGTCTCAAAATAATAATAATAATAATTAAACTGAAACTATTGATATTTTAAGTTTCATATGTATTTTCTAGATATGAGTGCATAAGTAAATCTTGCACAACTACATCATTTAACCTTTGTACTGTTATGAATTATCTAATATCATATCTGAAATCTGAGTAAGAAAATCTACTTTCTTTTCTTGACAATGTTAAATCTATTTGTAGGAAGAAGGAGTAGGGATAACGCATACAAGAAACTATACACATTTCCTCCCCATAAAAACAGAACAGTTACGCATATGTGGATGTTGCAGATTAAAGCCTGAACAGAAAATATATTAAAAATTATCATCCTAGTTGTACAACAAAAATTTATCCTGACAAAATTACTAACATACTAATGACTTTACTCCATCCCCTGACCCCTTGCTGGTTTATAGTATTTTGTGGTTCACCTCTCAGGATCAGGAGTCCCTGTAAAGAAGTGAATGCAAGGAAGGCTGGAGTCTTGAGGTAAAATAGAAACCATGCTTGCAGTGGTCAGGAATTCTCCCTCCATATTAATGCCACTTGGTTTATCTCGAAGAATTTCCATCATTGTTTCAAAAGTTATATTTCCTAGGGAAATAATTTTTAAAATCATCAAATACATATGCATATACAGATGCCTTGCAAATATGAACTGCTTTCTCTACTGATAATATATGAGTTATTAGTCTTGACATAAATTAAGAGACTGACTATAAACAAACTTTGTATCAACTACAATTAGATTCATTCCACTATCACAAGAAAGGTATTTTATTTCTAATATAAATATGCAAAGTCTCAAAGCCATTGTAACAGGTAAAAAAATCCTAGAAAAAGGAATTAATAATGCAAAAATATATTCAATCCCATCGCCCTTACAGAATTTTTTTTTTTTTTTTTTTTTTTGAGACAGAGTCTTGCTCTGTGAGGCTAGAGTGCAGTGGTGCGATCTTGGCCCACTGCAATCTCTGTCTCCTGGGTGATTCTCGTGCCTCAGCCTCCCAAGTAGCTGGGACTACAGTCATGTGCCACCATGCCCAACTAATTTTTGTATTTTTGGTAGAGACAGGGTTTCACCATGTTGGCCAGGCTGGTCTTGAACTCCTGACCTCAGGTGATCCTCCCCAGCTTGGCCTCCCAAAGTGCTGGGATTACAGGTGTGAGCCACTGCACCCAGCCTATGCCTGGCTAATTTTTAAATTTTTCTGCAGAGATGGGGGTCTTGCTACGTTGCCCAGGCTGGTCTCGAACTCCTGGCCTTAAGCAATCCTCCCCCATCAGCTTCCCAAAGTGCCAGGATTACAGGAATGAGCCACTGTGCCTAGTCTTTTGTCTTTAATTGAAAAAATTCAGTAAATATAACATAGTTACTGATGATTTGGATTTAAGTAGACCATTTTATTATTAGTTTTCTATGTATTCCATCTATTCTTTGTCTCTTTTTCTCCATTCTTGTCTTCTTTTTAACTTATCAAGTATTTATTACTACAGTTCTCCCATCAGCTTATTATTTATACACTTTAAAAAATCTTATTACTTTCTCTTGATTGACTACAGTTGGCCTTAAATTAGTTCTTTACCACTTACCAATTAATGTAAGAAGGACCCCTACATAACTTAGCTCCAATTACTGCCTATCTTTTGTGCTATTCTAATGCATTTTAATTTCTACTGTGTTCGTCTGGGTCTTCTGAGAAGCAGATGCCACAACATGGGATCAAATATTTTAGGGGAAATGCCTGTGACAGAAAATGGGGAGGGAACCTGGAAAGCCTCAGAGAATCATCAGACTATGATACAATCTGAAGTCTGAGTTTAGTAGAGAAGGAAGAGAAGTTGGAGAAGTATCCCAGGCTGCCATGCCATCTAAGAAAAGCCTGGCCAGGCTGTCAAGGAGTCCTTGATCCACATTAGCCATTAGAGGAGTCCTGTGTATTCCTAGAATGGGCCTGCCTTTATCTCCCTGCCACTCTCAGTCACTGGCCAAAAGCATCCTGTGGAAAATATAGTGCTCCATGAAATCCATGCACAATAGACTTTAAGCACTGCAGCTATGGCCGTTGGTTAAGAAGTTATTATTTTCAACAATGTTTGTTTAGTTTTACCTATGTATTTACTGTTTCTGCTGCTCTTCATCTACTACTGCGTACCTTGCTTCTATCTGCCTGAAGAATGCCCATTAGCATTTCTTTTAGTGCCAATTGTCTAGTAATTCTGTTTTATTTCACCTTTATTTTTAGAGGATATTTTCACTAGCTATACAATTCTAAATTAATAGTTATTATCTTTCTCCATCACCTTAAAGTTGTCATTTTACAGTCTTTAGAATTCCCTCCCTTCTGTTGAAAAGTTAGCTGTCAGCTTTATATTTGTTTCTTGAAGATACTTTTTTTCCCCTGGATGTTTCAGATTTTTCTCTGTCTTTTTTCCCGCTCAGAAATCTCACTATGATGGGCCTAGGTGTGGGTTCCTCTTGTTTGTCCTTCTTGGGATTTGTAGAGCTTCTTGAGGCTGTTGCTTGATGACTTTTATTAGTTTGGGGAAATTCTTGGCCAATATCCTTCAACTATTGCTTTTGCCCTTCCCTGTTTTCTCTCTCCTTTCCTGTTGAGTCTCCAATCTTATGTATATGAGACCTTTTCACTGAGTCCTATATATGCCTCTCAGATCCTTGTCTATATTTTCTAAACTTTTATCTCTGTTTGAATTGGAATCTTTTCTACTGATCTTCCAGTTCACTAATGTTTTTCTTCTGTTATACCTAATCTGTTGTTAAATCAATCTATTGAATTCTTAATTTCAGTTATAATTTTTCAGTTGTATTATTTCCATTTGGGTCTTTTACAGACTCCAGTTCCCTGATGAAATTCTCCATCTTTTCATCTAATTCTTTTGAATACATAATAGTAATTTTAAAGTCTGTTTCCAATAAAGCTAATGTGTAGACAGCCTACATGTCAGATTCTACCATCTACTTTTTCTCTTGGTTTTCAGTCATTTGGTCTTATTTCTTAGCATGCCTGATACTTTCCAACTGAAGGAAATGTTATAGAGGCTCTACGTGATACTTTCTTTCACAGAGCATTTAATATTCTTCTGGCAACCAGATAGAATATACGTAGATTACCTTGATCCAGTGTTGAGACTAGTCTATCCCTTGTTTGTTCTTACTCTTCCTAAGGAGTAGCATTTCTGGGATCTCAATTGAAAGCTCAGGGGTATTTCCCAGGTACCTTCTTGGTTGGCCCTCCAATCAAATTTTTGTCCCTAAGGCCTTGTGAGACTGCAAAAAATCTCTGCTTAGCTTTTAGGGCGCCTAGCAGCTACTTTCTGCTTGATTTCACAGTGTCATGTCTCATCCTACCTACGTGCTGCTTAGAAGTTGGCAATTGCATTAAGAAACTGTGATATTTAGAAAGTCAAGGTCTTCTCAATGTGTAAAGTCTTCTCTCAGTCTTCAGGATCTAGGCTCCTCATCTCTACTCTTTTGTGTACTCTTTTGGGTATTCATCCATGTCTTCCAACAACAGGGGTTTTCTCCCTCCAGATCTCATAGTTATTCTTGGAAGGAAGTTGGTCTAACACCAGCTACTCCTTCATAACCAGCCCTGTGCTTTTTAACACTCCACTGTACTATTATGCCTCCCATTTATTAAATACATCAATCTCTTTTTACCCTGAAGTAGTACCAATTTCTTAATAACAGTAATGAATGTGGTGAATCCAGGTAACAAGTACAGTTAAAAAAAAAAACAAAACAAAACAGGCCAGGTATGGTGGCTTATGCCTGTAATCCCACCAGTTTGGGAGCCTGAGGCAGGATTATCACTTGAGCCCAGGAGTTTAAGACCAGCCTGGGCAACATGGCAAGTGTGCCATCTATTACCAAAAAAAAAAAAATTTAGCCACATGTGGTAATGCATGCCTGTAGTTCCAGCTTCTCAGGAGGCTGGGGCAGGAGGACTGCTGAAGCCCAGGAGATTGAGGTTACAGTGAACTATGATCGTGCCACCGCCCTCCAGCCTGGGCGACAGTGCAAGACCCTGTCAATCAATCAGTCGATCGATCACAAAACATAGTTTCTGCCAACAGATATTTTTAGATACTTTATATGGAAATGTTTAATTATTATATTTCAATTAGTTCTAAAAAAACAAAAAACTTTCACTTATCATGGTTGATTAACCACAGATATCTCCTTCCTCTCTCTCAAAACCCTAAAATGACAGTAAAAGAATAAAAAAAGAAGTAACTGTTAAAAAAAAAAAGAGCGCATGAAAAGCAAGAATCTCCACTCCCTGCCCCACTATTCCCATAATTGGGAATTAAAAGAAAAAGCTCACGGCAAGCCTGTATCCAAATTGTAACTCATAATATTTCAAATTAAAACTGACTTCCATATAAAATAATATAATGTTCTGCCCTCAGTTAATTATGCAGGTTACCAACTATTTTATGTTAATGACAACAGATTTATACAAGTCTACATTGTCTTATCCAGTTTCTCCACAATATAGCCATTACTTCAAAATCAAGAAAAATAACTTATTGAATTTATAGATAACTTGTTACAGAAGCAATATATTTCTGTTAGTTTTGAAAAACACAGTAAAGAAGGTGTGCCTAAAAGCAGCCCTTAATATTAAAACTAAACAATAAAGCAAAAACCTGCCATCCACACCTATATATCAGGCACACAGTTTCAACACCTAGTAAGCCTTTAAAATGATTCAAATCCAAACTCCTATAAATGGCAAATTTTAATAAAAACAGTGTCAGAACCATAATACTGTGATAATACAGGTATTATGAAAATATTTTCTGTATTCAAAACCTACAATTCTCAAAATGAAAGGAGGATTTACATGATCACTTGAGTAGGATAGCTATAAGTAATCCACTAGCAAGCATTGAATAAGTACTGAGACTACAGTGGCAGGGTTCAGTAAAATAAATGCAAAACACAGGGTGTAATTTCATTGCAATTTAAGCTAGTTATTTAAAATACATGAGTGAATATAGATTCAATTTGGATATACATGCAGCACAGTTAATAGCTATCAGGTAGGGATAGTTGGAAAGAAGAGAGGCAGGCTGTTCTATCTAGAAAAATCATAGGAAAAATTAACTATAATGTACTGGTAGACAATTTTCTGTGAAAGTATTAGAAAGATATTCTTTTGTCAAAGCACAGAAAGCTAGATGAACTATACTTCACACTTGAGAAAAAGTAAGTTTCATGTCAGATGCATCTATTCCTATAATCATGTATGCAATTAAAATCTATGATTCAGTTATTCTTAAATATAACTGAATTATAATTATGATGCAGTAGCTAATTGGTTATAATTATTTCTATCTTTTTTCTTCCTTTTGTCCAATTACCCTAAACCTTAGAATTCTTGGCATTTTCCTCTCCATCTTAATTATGCATTGTTGTTCTTCGTTTTTAAAGAATATCTGCTAAATGTATTTCCTGAGCCTTTAAATTTATTACTAGCAAAAAGTACACAACAGTGATCTTTGTTAAACTATCTGCAAATTACAATTTAATTCAAATCAACTAACAATACTTTAATTTATTCAAT